GTAATTATATATTTGTAATTCAGAGTGGCAAATTTATGAAGAAATGTTCTCTTTGTTCTTGTATTGAACCGGTTGAACTTTTCTTCTATTGACGTCATGGAATGTTGACCCCTAGTATGAGTGGTCAGTAGCAGTAATGACGTCATCCTCCTGACCCCTAGTATGAGTGGTCAGTAGCAGTAATGACGTCATCCTCCTGACCCCTAGTATGAGTGGTCAGTAGCAGTAATGACGTCATCCTCCTGACCCCTAGTATGAGTGGACAGTAGCAGTAATGACGTCATCCTCCTGACCCCTAGTATGAGTGGACAGTAGCAGTAATGACGTCATCCTCCTGACCCCTAGTATGAGTGGACAGTAGCAGTAATGACGTCATCCTCCTGACCCCTAGTATGAGTGGCCCGTAACAGTAATGACGTCATCTCCATGGTCCCCCCACAGGACGGTTCTGTGGTGGTCTGAGGTTCCCACAGACCATAGTGTCGACTGGCAGCCGGATGTTGGTCTCCTACGTCACATCCGTCAATCAGAACGGCCACAAAGGCTTCAGTGCCGCCTATGAAGGTAAGTTCTTCTTAATGACGATCTTCAGCATTTTCACTTTTCATATTTCTGGATTTAATTGTTTTATTTTATTTATTTATTTAGTTCGTGGGAATTGGTACTTAAGAGGGTATGTACCGTCTTAGTGACCTTCCAGATCTTGCCAGGATACGTCGGCAAGATCTCCTTTATGTGTATCCTTCACTCCCTCCTTCTTTCCCATCCCTCCATCCCCATCCCTCCATCCCCATCCTTCCCCTCTTCCTACAGTTGTATTAAGATCCCTACCAGGTCCCTCGTAGTAACTCGACACGCTTCGGGCAGGTTATCTTGAGATGATTTCGGGGCTTTTTAGTGTCTCCGCGGCCCGGTCCTCGACCAGGCCTCCACCCCCGCGGCCCTGGTCGAGGACCGGGCCGCGGGCAGATTATAGAGACCTTAGGATTAACATTGTTGACAAAGAGTAGAGTGATGACGTCGCCTGACCTAATCTAGGGGTCCCCTTTTTGAACGGTGGTGCCTGTGCGCCGTGCGATGTTCAGCCGTGTGTGGAGGCGAGCTGTCCATGGAGGAGGGTCACCTGGAGAGCCCTAACTACCCGGACGACTACAGACCCAACAAGGAGTGCATCTGGAAGATCACCGTCCCTGAGGGCTATCAGGTGGCTCTCAGATTCCACTCATTTGAGGTCAGTGGTCACACCAATATGTTCGTCTGGATAAGTGAATAAGATTTATTGATTTATTTATTTATATACAAGAAGGTACATTTGTGAGCATACATAGCATGGTATTTACAATCTTGTAAAGCCACTAGTACGTGTAGCGTTTCGGGCAGGAAATAAGATCGAATAACAATGCCAAAAAAAATCTATGACAATGTGAGACTAAAGCATCTTAACGGAAATGAAGCATTATATATATATATATATATATTATTAAATATGACCGAAAAAGTAAGATTAATAATTCTAACACGAATTTTCTCAATCTTTCGTACATTACGCTTCACTGTTGGAGGTAAATAAAAAATCACTTCTCCAAAATTCATTTTTATTTCTAGTCTGACGCGACACGGGCGCGTTTCGTAAAACTTATTACATTTTCAAAGACTTCACAAATACACAACTGATTAGAACTTACGTATCTCTGATTTTATATCTACATTTGAGTGAGGTGGGAGGGGTGATGTGGCATTAACACAAGACAGAACAAGAGGGGATATTAATAGGGTATTAAAAGTATCAACACAAGACAGAACAGAAACAATGGGTATTGAATAGAAGCGTTCTGTTTTGTGTCTGGAGAGTTTCTCATGAGTAGGCTGGCCGTTTTTCTGGTTTTATAGTAAATCGTCAGTTGTATCCTCTGATTTTTGTCTGTAGGGATAACGTTTCTATTAACAATATCTTTCAGGACCCTTTCCTCCGTTTTATGAGCTGTGGAAAAGAAGTTCCTGTAAAATAGTCTAATAGGGGGTATAGGTGTTGTGTTAGTTGTCTCTTCAGAGGTTGCATGGCTTTTCACTTTCCTTCTTATGATGTCTTCGATGAAACCATTGGAGAAGCCGAAGACATATCATCGAAGACATCATAAGAAGGAAAGTGAAAAGCCATGCAACCTCTGAAGAGACAACTAACACAACACCTATACCCCCTATTAGACTATTTTACAGGAACTTCTTTTCCACAGCTCATAAAACGGAGGAAAGGGTCCTGAAAGATATTGTTAATAGAAACGTTATCCCTACAGACAAAAATCAGAGGATACAAATATATATATATATATTGTGACGGTAACGCGTTGGTGTTCGGCTGTTTAAGGCTAGGGGTATGGCCTCGTCACATAGTTATAAAAAAAAAATAGAAAAAACTGGAACTTCGTCTGTGGTAAGGTAAGGAGAAGACACACAAAACACAAGTAAACTTTAACAATGAAATTTTAATTACGTTAAATAAATCAAAACATGAATAAAATGCACAAACAAATTCTTATAATAAAATCAATCAATCAAAATAATAAGAATAATTAAATGACACAATGAAAAGTTACGTTAAGGCAAAATAACAAGAAGTGCAATACAAAGTAAATGGGAGGTGTTGGAATATTGGCTTTAAGCCACCACTTCTCTCAGTACACGCTAGCGTCTAGCTGGGAGGAGTGGTGACAACGAGAGCACTGAACATTCTGAGGTCTGAAGTTGGGGCGACCCCAGACATCAAGTAGTATGGGGGGGCGAGTGCAGGTGCAGCCAGACCGGCGACCAATCAGCGGAGCCGGTAGCGATCAACATGTAGTTTGGTGGTTGGAGTCCGAACAGGTGGCTGGCTGCATACGTTTTGCTCACCCTGGCAAGCCTTGCTGGTGTTGTTGTTGTTGTTGGACATGTCTTCCATAGTCGTTTTATATAATTTCGACGACGTAATTATGGAGGGAAGAGCAGGCTCAATCTCTTGAAGGAGATTATTGTCACAACTCTCCCCCGAAGCCTGCGGTTCTGGAAGAAGTACGTCGTTATGTGGTGGAGTAATGGATGGAGTCGCTTCTACTTCATAAATTCTGGAGAGATCAGGGGCTAAGATGTTGTCAGACTCTTGGTATAGCGTGTCTCCAGGTTGAATTTCTGCAGTTAGCAAGCCCATAGTAGAAGACGTTGAGATGAGAAGTGGGCATGCTGCAGGAGGTGTAGGGTGGTGTGGTCCGTATTGATGGTGGACCGAGCACTTTTCAGGTGTGGAGTGAAGTGCTGAAGCTTCAGGATGAGGAAGAGTAGCTCCTTGCCAATTGTTCCGTCGTTCCTTGTAGCAGTAGTCGCTGACAGGTGTATTCTTCTCGCCTCGTTGCTGCATCACGACACCACCATCGTCGGTACCATTGGCGTCGACATGGAGGATGAAGGGCTTATCTGACGAGGTGAGAGTGGAATTAGAAGAGGGCATAGGAGCACGATTATTATCCTGAAAGCATTTGGGAAGATCATTAAGGATTTCGGAATTAGAAAGCGCCGACTCCTTGTCAGTGCTTTCGGGAGAAGAAGCTGGGATGGTCTCACTGTGGACGTAGGGTTCTGTGAAGGTAGAATAATTAGTCAAGACAGTGGGAGGAGTACCATTATATTGCTTCAGGAGGTTGACGTGGCACAGCTGGGTCTTCCGCCGCCTATCTGGAGTCTCTATGACGTAAGTGTTGTTGCTTCTGCACTCTTTGACGCAGTAGGGTCCTGAAAATCTGTTTTGTAAAGGTGAACCTGGGATAGGGAAATAGGCAAGGACGAAGTCTCCCGGCTTGAATTTTCTTACTTTGCTGGTCTGGTCGTAATGAGTCTTCATTCTCACCTGGGCTTTCAATAGATTATCATGGGCAAAGCGGTGGACTCTCTCTAGAATGTGTTGAAGGTTTTGAAGAAACTGGGGCACATTCTGATGCTCACTGAAGGTGGCATCTCTGAGAGAGTCTTTGAAAGTCTTAAGGGGAGTACGGCACTTACGGCCGTAGAGCATCTCATACGGAGATACTCCTAGGGACTCATTGGGGAGACTTCTGAAAATACACATTATTAGGTCAATCTGCTTATCCCAATCCTTTGAGGTTTCACTACAAAACTTTTTCAAGAGTGCTTTGATGGTCTGATGACTACGTTCAAGAGAACCCTGTGAAGCAGGATGATAGGGGCTGGACAATACCTGTTTGATGTTGAACTCCTCCAGTGTCCTTTTGAAGAGATCACTGGTGAAGTTGGTGCCACAGTCACTTTGAATCTCCCTGGGAAATCCGTATTGAGTGAAGATCTTCAATAGATGTTTGATAACCGTAGCAGCCGTGATGTTCTTCACTGGAACTGCTATGGGAAATCTGGTGGTAGGACACAGGATGGTTAGGATGTAGGCGTTACCTGAACTGGTCCGAGGTAAAGGACCAACACAGTCTATTATGAGTCTGTGGAAAGGTTCCGCAGGCACCTGTATGGGAATCAGTGGTGCTCTGGGAATGGAGACGTTCGGTTTGCCTGCCATCTGACATGTATGACACTGTTTTACGTACTGTTTGACGTTATTTACCATACCTGGCCAGTAGTAGTCTTGACGAATCCCATGGTAAGTCTTGTTGAAGCCGTAGTGGGAGAATGCTCCGTGGGCCAGGTGTAGAATAGTGGGCCGCAGGCTGGTGGGAATCACAAGTTGTTCGATGTTGGCCCAATCGTCCTCCTCCTTCAGTTTACTGGGTCTATATCTGCGGTAGAGCAAGTCGTTCTCTAGGAAGAACCCAGGAATACTGTCGGGTTGAGTCTCAGCCTGGAAAAACAATGGTGTTAAAGTAAGATCTTCCCTCTGCAACTTACGGAACTCCAACTTGGTCAGATGCGGGGGTAGTTTCTGAGGGTCTTGAGGGACAGCGGTAGCAGTAGAGTCAGCTGGCTGTGGACGTGCGGCTTGTGCACGGGTGGTCACGAGAACCGGAGGAGAAACTTCATCACTCTCTTGAACCTCTGCTGGAACATACTCAAGAATAGGGTTTATTGGCACAGAGTTACACACCTGGGGTTTGTCCATGACGATCAGGTTGGTCGGTTGCAGGTCTTCTGCCAAGTCGTTGCCTAGGAGAAGTTGCACTCCAGGCATGGGAAAAGGCTTTTCCCTGACGGCGACTTGGACTTCTCCGTTCACGTAGGGACAATCCAGGTGGACTCTGGCGAGAGGGTATGGAGTGGTAGCAGTGAGGTCAGTGATGAAGACTGTTTCCCCGGTGTAGACTATGTTGGGCACAGCCGACTTCAAGATGATCGATTGTAGAGCCGCTGTGTCCCTCAAGATCTTCAATTTGAAACGTCCCTCCGGATTTGAACCGTTGGCAGAGACAGTTCCAGTATACAGGTGGTTACTGAAAAGAGAAAGATCATTAACATTAACACCAACATTCATCACAGGCTTACCGGACTTAGGAGGAGTTGGTTTGGGTCTTTGTTGGTCAGTGGTTCCCTTGTATTGAGACTTACCACACTTGTCTATAGTATGTCCATAGAGTCTACAATACTTGCAGTACAGTTGTGAACCAGCTTGATCGGGGCTCACCTTCTCGTAACTGTACCACGACTTCTTACTGGAGGATGGTTCAGGTGTCAGCCGGTGGATGAGGCTGTAAGTGTCAGCCGACTTAGCACACTTCAGGTAGTCGGTTTCTTCTTTATCTGCTAAGTAGAGGCGGACAGGAGGCGGCACACGTCTCAAGAATTCTTCAACAAGCATCAGGTTGACGAGTTCTGTAAAAGTAGAGACATGTGCTGCTTCCAGCCATTTCATGAAATACCTCCGTTTCGTGTTAGCAAACTCGAGGAAGGTAGTGGTACTTGCCTTCAGGTGGTCACGGAATTTCCTTCTATAACTTTCTGTGGAAAGTAGGTAGGCGTCCAACACTGCTTGTTTCAGAGTGTAGTAGTCATTCTCAGACGCCAAAGTACTGAGTGTGACTGCAGCTCTACCTGTAAGATGGACTCTGAGAAGTGTGGCCCATTGGTCGACAGGCCAACTGAGTTGATTAGCAAGGGTTTCAAAGGTGGTGAAAAACACATCAACTTCTGCTTCTACAAAGGATGGCATTAACTTACTTGCATGTGATATATTAAAACTGACGGGAAGATTGGCAGTAGCTTGTTGGCGTTGAGTGAAGTGGGAAGTTTCCAAGGCGATTTCACGTTGACGACACTCTAGAGCCAGAGTCGCTTGTTGCTTGTCATGTTCGCGTTGTATTTCCAACTCGCGTTGTTTGGTTTCAAGCTGTACTCGTTCACGTTCACGGAGTAAGGCGACCTCACGTTCGTGGAGGGCGAGTCCACGTTCGTGTTCTTCTCTCCTCAAGGCAGCTTCGCGTTCTTGTTCGTCTCTCCTCAAGGCAGCTTCACGTTCTTGTTCGTCTCTCCTCAAAGCAGCCTCGCGTTCGTGTTCTTCCCTTCGTATGGCAGCTGCTTCTCTTTGCTGCTCACGTTCAATCTTGGCCAGCTCTAGTTTAAGTTTCATCGTTGCCAAGTCAGTTTTCTCTGCAATATAGTAAGTTTCATGAGTTTCAGAGTCTATCTTACCTTGCTCTAAATAGTAATCCAGCAACAGGTTGTGTAGGTCATTTTTGTTGGCTTGGTAGGGAACTTCTAGTTGATACTCATGTGCAAGAGTTTGTAATTCAGTCCTCTTGGCACGACTTAAAGTCCCTATTTCACCTGCTGGATTTGCACGGAAAGTTTGGAGACGAAACATGGTGAAATTAGCAAATAAAGGTACACGAATATTCAATAGTGAAATGTCAGAAACAGGACAACGTGGCAACTGGTACCTATCCTGTGTGATCTTTAACAATTAACGTTAAGTGAAAGATATTAAATGATTAAATTAAATCAAGGGCGCAGGAAATCTTGTACCCGGTACTCATGTAAGAGAATAAGGGCAAGAAAATCCTACTAACAAATGAAACAAAGTTTCGAAAACAAATGAAACAGTCAAATGCTTCAAAAGTAAAATTGGTAGTCCAAGGATGTAGGCATACCTTGCCAAGTCTCTATAGGACATAAAGCAAGTTTTTCCCACTGAATTTAATATGATACTTACAGAATTAGCGAACTTTTGTGCTCTGAAAAAATAAGCTAATTCCCTACCGTTGTATGTATCATCATCTCTGACTGACGTGTAGGGGTGCGAGGTGTCAACTGGTGACGAGAACTGCTGCTGAGGTCCCAATTCAGCAACTAAAGTTCGAGCTAGAGGAACTATGGCCCTCTTTGTCCTCCTACAGTCAGATTGCAGAAGATTGGGTACTCTTGACCCGGGGCAGACCACAGTACCAGGGTACCAATATGATGATCTGTCAGAATGAGAAATATTCAAGGGACATAGATGGTAAACACGAGTAATAACACGGAGGGAGAGATGACCAATTAAGAGTATGACTGCGGCCTACAGTCACCACGTAATCCAAAGTTGTCTCACCTTCACTATATGTTACTCTCGTAATGCACAATACACCGCACCTTATAAAAAATGAAATTGAATATGAAAAATAGTAAAGCTACGTTAACAAAGTTAAATACGCTTACCATAAATTACCACTTGGCACCAGTACCTGAGTGAAGCTCCTAGGACAGGCCCCCATATAACTTGTGACGGTAACGCGTTGGTGTTCGGCTGTTTAAGGCTAGGGGTATGGCCTCGTCACATAGTTATAAAAAAAAATAGAAAAAACTGGAACTTCGTCTGTGGTAAGGTAAGGAGAAGACACACAAAACACAAGTAAACTTTAACAATGAAATTTTAATTACGTTAAATAAATCAAAACATGAATAAAATGCACAAACAAATTCTTATAATAAAATCAATCAATCAAAATAATAAGAATAATTAAATGACACAATGAAAAGTTACGTTAAGGCAAAATAACAAGAAGTGCAATACAAAGTAAATGGGAGGTGTTGGAATATTGGCTTTAAGCCACCACTTCTCTCAGTACACGCTAGCGTCTAGCTGGGAGGAGTGGTGACAACGAGAGCACTGAACATTCTGAGGTCTGAAGTTGGGGCGACCCCAGACATCAAGTAGTATGGGGGGGCGAGTGCAGGTGCAGCCAGACCGGCGACCAATCAGCGGAGCCGGTAGCGATCAACATGTAGTTTGGTGGTTGGAGTCCGAACAGGTGGCTGGCTGCATACGTTTTGCTCACCCTGGCAAGCCTTGCTGGTGTTGTTGTTGTTGTTGGACATGTCTTCCATAGTCGTTTTATATAATTTCGACGACGTAATTATGGAGGGAAGAGCAGGCTCAATCTCTTGAAGGAGATTATTGTCACAATATATATATATATATATATATATATATATATATATGGGTTTAGGTTTAGTAACTGAGAATGACAAAGAAATGCGTGACATTCTAAGCAAGTATTTTCTCTCTGTATTAACTAGATAAGAACTTGATATTTTTACTGGAACAAATCAGTGTAGGAGGTGAAAGTAATCGGAATTGTTGAGTCGTTACCAGGGATGAAGTTATTGAACAGGTAGAACAGTTATAACCAAACAAGTCTCCAGGATCAGACGAAGTCTTTGTCAGGGTTCTGGAAAGGTCATATTGCAGGAAAAATTGCTTGAATTGCAAAAAGCCATTCTTCTACAGCCTGAAAAACGTAGACTAATGCAACATTCACATCATGGCTTTACAAGCGAGCACCTGGGGGAGAGGGGGTTACCCAGGATGTTAGTTCGAACCCCGTCCGTCTCAAAAGATTTTCTCTCCGCTTGTTTGAATCGTAGGTTAGACATGCATATAAATGAATGTGAGTGGATAGCAACTGCCTTGCATGGGGGTCAATAGACTTTCTACACTTTCTTGTATTCATATATTCTTATCCCATCTGTACAGCCGACTGTAGCAGGAGTCCTAATTGTTCAGCATTATATTGATCCGATCCTCCGCAGATTGAGAACCACGATGACTGTGTCTACGATTACTTGGACATTCGCGATGGTCACGAAGAGAACTCCACGCTAATTGGTGTTTTCTGTGGCTATAAAAAACCAGAGGATATCAAATCTGCATCAAATAAAATGAGAATCAAATTTGTGACAGATGGTTCGGTACAGAAAGCCGGATTCTCTGCAACGTTTCTGAAAGGCAAGTGTCGCGTGATGTTTTGAATGATGTTATTCTGTTCGCAGTGAAATCAATGATGTGATATATCAATGATAATCATTTTGAGGCAGTGGAGTGACTTGGAACACGCGTTCTGCTGATTCTCAGACTCGTCATCATGCCATTGTGATTCCATTGCGATCTGAGTGGGGAGAAGTGTCTGAATGCCATTACCATAGGCCAGTGTGTGTTTGGGTTGGCTGTAGAGCCCTGGTTGGGCTTCGGTTCGGGGCCAACAGAACCTCCCAGGCAGGTGTCTGGGAGACCCCCAGAACGCGAGTTCCAAGTCACTCCATTGCCTCAAAATGATTTTCAATGCTATTATCTTATAAATGATCTTGGTCATGATTCACCATGTACTTAAGTCTCCCCTTACGGAACCTGTACATCTTTTCCTCAATCGTAGCAGCTAGATTTGTATATATTAATCAGTTTATAAGATCCTATGCGGTACAAAGTGTCCATAACAACGATAACTTTGGGTTGGCGACGATCCCACAGCGTTTCAGAGCACATAAACTGTTTATTAATGAAAACAGACTATGATTGGAGCATGATGTACAGGTTTCGTAAGTGGGGATTTAACTTAGTGATTGATCATTTCTGGCCGAGCTTAGATGTTTATGTCAAGTAGACATTAATGTTCAAGTTCAAAATAAGGTGACAGTCATACCAGTAGGGACAAAAAATTCAAACTATTGTTATTGTTAGCACTAATTAACCTTTATCAATAAATAATTAAGCACGGGACCATGACGACAGTTTGTAAACTCTCATCAAAATCAGTTAAAATAAGTACATTAGATATGTGGGAGCTAAGTGATTTAATTGTTGTTGAATGTTGCACCCCAGTGAACACAACATCCAACACTATCAACGCTCATTCAATGTTACTCTTTTATATATTGTGTCTCGATAGTATAGTGAAGATGTTCTCCACACACAACCAGAAATCACAGGCGGGGAAGAAATGGTGGGGCACATTTCCTTTCACCTAATGCTTTTGTTCACCAAGCAGTAAATAGGTACCAGGGAGTTAGGCCAACCAGTCCTCCTAAGGTTCCCCAACGTCAAGAAACTGTCATACTAAAGTGCCCCCTTATACTAACGTACCAGAGGACCCAAAACAGGAAACGGAATAATGCATCACTTTCGCGAGCAGCTACCATTTAATAGTACGTAAATTTTTGGCCTTAGGTCGAGTATATGTCAAAATGCAACGTTCTATTAGGAGGACGGGTTGTTTTTCTTGTTTTTTGGCGGTTTTGTTTTCATTTATTAAACAGTTTGAGGTCCAAAGTACTATGAGACTATTTTAACCATTGTATAATTCATTCTACTGTTCACTTTTATTCTTCCAGTCAACCTTGAACAAATATGACATTTGGAGAACTCCTCTGCCAATTAAACCAAGATGCTGGAACACTAGTCGGAGGGTAGAAGCCCTAAACAAGAAAATAATCAACACGGAATATGCAGTCATATTCAATGAAACACGTCTAAATTAAAACCTTCTGTCAATATACACTAATGTATACCGGTGTATGTGTGTGTGTGTGTATTATATATATATAATAATAATATACTGTTGTTGGGGACATTTAAAAAAAAAACTTGAACTTATCCAGGTTCCTCTAGATCAAGTACTAACCTTCCCCCAGGATACAATCCATACAAAAATTTCTAACTCCCGGGTACTCTCCCTATTTTACTACTAGGTGAACAGAGGCATCAGATAAAGGGAAATATACCTAACTGTTTCTGTCCAGCTGGGAATTAAATTCTAGACTCTCGGTTGCAAGGCGTACAAGTAAACAACTGCTATAGATATATTGTAAATTTGTAGGTGGAGTACAAAATTTGTTTCCTTATTAATTGAATTTTTGACTTGCAGAATACGATGAATGTTCAAGTTTAGACCATGGATGTGAACACAATTGTATTAATCAGCTTGGCAGCTATGAATGTCGCTGTAAAATAGGCTACGAACTTCACTCTGATGGCAAGAGATGCGAAGGTAAGATATCACAAATAGCTATATGTTTCTTTTAAAAATTATAACTGATATCTGCAGCTTTGAGCTTGTGGCGTGAACTGTATATGGAGATCTGGACAGTGCGTTGGCGGTCAGTTCCCTGGAATGTATGGAGGTCACTTCCCTGGACTGTGTACTGTGTGGAGGTCACTTCCCTGGACTGTGTTGAGGTCACTTCCCTGTACTGTGTGGAGGTCACTTCCCTGGACTGTGTGGAGGTCACTTCCCTGGACTGTATGTAGACGTTTAATTCCTGAACCGTGTGAATGTCTGTTCTCTGGACTGTATGCAGAACTCTATTCTCTGGGCTGTTCTTGGAGGGTTATTTCCCGGAATGTGTGTGGAGGTCTATCCTCCGGGATGTATAATGTATATGTGGAGGTCTATTTCATGAACTGTTTGTGGAGGTCTGTTCCCTGGATTGTGAATGGAGGTCTATTCTGTGGACTGTACAGAGGTCTGTTCCCTTAACTGCATGTGGTTTATTTCCTGGACTGTATGTATGGAGATCTATTCCCAGGAAAGTATGTGTTGAGATCTATTCCCCAGACTGTGTATCAGTTGGTCTATTTCATATACTGTGTGTGGAGGTCTATTTCCTTAAAGGTCAGCCTCCAGCTGAGGGAGAGGTCAGCCTCCAGCTGAGGATAATTGTATGTGGTCTATTTCCTGGACTCTGTGTGGAGGTCTATTCAATAGAATCTGTGTGGAAGTCAATTTCATGAATGGTGTGTGGTCTGTTTCTTGGATTATTTGTGGAGGTCTATTCCCTGGATTATGTGTGGTCTATTTCCTTGACTCTATGTGGAGGTCCGTTTCCTGAGCTCTCTCTCCGTGAATTTGTTCCCCATTTTCAACCTCTGAATTTTATCATTTACCTGCTGTTGTGGAGGTTTATTACCTGAACTGTGTTTTGAAGTTTATTTTTCTGGTCTTAGTGCATTTACCTCTTGCAGTATGAGTTGGTATGTTTTCCCTGAACTATGTTTTGGACTGTGTGTGGAGGTTTATTTCAATAAATTGTGTATAGAGATCTTTATCTTGGACTGTATGTGATGTGTTTCATGTGGGCTACCATCTGTCTAGTGGCCTCAACAGGGTCAGGAAGCCAGCAGCTTATCAAACGATCCCTCAATTTTTCTTGATAAATTTTTTTCCCATTTCAGTTTTGAACTGCAGTAATGTCCTGACATTTATGGCTTGGGTGGATAGGCAGTTCCACGAATTTCTAAGCCTCTTGGTGAAAAAGCTTCTCCTGTCCTACATTGTGGCTTGCTAAACTTGAAGCTCTTGTTCAGTATTTTATAAGTTTATACGAGATCTGCCCCTGTCATGTCTGGTTTTCAGTGTTGTTAGTCCTGTGGCACTCAACCTTTCCTGGTATGAGAGTCAACTAAGTTTTGGGATGATTTTTGTCACTTTGCATTGTACATTGTACTTCATTAGGATATATATCTGCTTTTTCCAAAGCAGATATAGTATATCCTTCTGAAAATGAGGCCTCAACCTTGGATATAGTAGTCAAAATGGGGGCATAGCAGAGATTTGTACAGTTGAAACATTTTGCTTGACTGTGTGTGGTGATTTATTCCTTGTACTGTGTGATTTATTCCCTGTACTGTGTATGTTGGTGCATTTCCAGGACTGTGTGACTGTGTGTACCGGTCTTGTCTCTGGACTTGGTTGTACTGAGGCTGTTGGTAATTCGTTTAGGATTCTTATTTATGTATTTAGTTTATCCTAATGACTTTTTCCCTCCAGACGCATGTGGTGGGAAGATTGACCAGCCAAATGGAACAATAACAAGTCCGTCATTTCCTGACCTGTATCCTGTAAATAAGAACTGTATTTGGGAAATTATTGCACCTCCTCAGTACCGAATTACATTGAACTTCACACACTTTGACCTAGAGGGAAACAATGTAAGTGAATTAGGTAGTATCAATTTGATATTGTAATTCTTTTCTTTCGCCATATTTTCAATGTGGAAATGAATATGAGCTCGTGAATATACTCAAGTGGAATTAAATGTGTTTTCACATCCCTGCTGTAATTATATATCATTGTAACTTATCAATTTCCTGAAAATAACCTTTGTTTCTGTTCCAGCAAGATTGTGAGTATGATAGTGTTGATATCCGCAGCAAGCTCGGAGTAGCCGAAATGAGAAAACACGGAGTATTTTGCGGACAGCGGCTTCCGTCAGTCATAACATCGGAAGGAAACAGTCTACGTATAGAATTTAATTCTGATAATTCTGTACAGAAAAGTGGTTTTGCTGCAGTTTTCTTTACAGGTATACATTTTGCTTACCTGATAGTTGGGTTCAGTCATTAAGGGATCCATTACCATAGGGGGAAGTACAGTTGGAATCCCTTGCTCTTGGACGCATTACCATGGTGAAAGCGTAACTGGCGTCCCTTTATTTTTTAATGCTTTACCATCGTGTGTGTGTATAATGGGTACTCTCTCTTCATGGCTGCATTACTGTACTATTTATATTACATGCTTACATTTACCTTTCCTATTTGCAGTATTTATGCTTATATGAACCTTTCCCACTATCAGTATAATGTAATTAGCATTTGTTTATTAATTAATTTATTGAAATGTCAAGTTTGTTTTAATTCGAGTTTTATATTGGAGATTGTGTGTTGTGAGCAACACACACACATTTACTGACTGGTGCAAGAACAGTGACTATCCACATTCTCTTAGTGAATGCATAAAGAAAGCCGATTTTCGTACTTTAAATATACAGTACTGTATGTACAAGATCAGAAGTACCCTGATGGGACAAAGATTTAAGCCAGGATGTGAATTTAGATCTCTCTCACTCTTTGGGGGTATTATATGTTGCCATGAATGTACACTGAATACACTAGAATCTCAGTGATATTAAAAAAAAAATCAGAATTTAAGAAAATGTCTCGGAGAAAAGGCCTTGGTGGGAGAACTCTTCCTTTTCACTCCTTTAAAAAGGGGGGTTAACACATGCCACATGAATACTATGGTATAATATGAAAAGTTTAATTCTAAAAAAATTCTTTAGAAGTGAAAGACTAATTTTCATTAAAAGTTAATAATCGGAAAGTCAACATTTCCTATTTATTTATACTGTATTAACCCAACTCCTGACAAAAATTGATCAGCATTAGCTCATGAACAGTTTGTGCGAAATGCTGTGTGTGTTAGTGGCTTTAGGCATTGTATGCACTAGCTCTATCTATAAATCAGACTTTATATTTGTAACTCGCCTTGTATGTATGTACTTATACCTGAATAAACATTTGTTTTGATTTGAGTTAGGCAGGGGTAGCACTGATATCACTGTGAACTTTTTCAAATGCGTCCCCGCTGGATTCATTGCTCAGGTTACAATCAGTTATTCACAAAAGTCCCACTAAATCTACCTTGGCATCACAGATGATCACCAAATGGAGTGCTCTATTATTACCAGTTGGCTCTTATGGCAACCATCACTCACTCACCAGAGGGCAACACCCTACACACACAATACTCAAGAGTGTCATTCTTTCTGACACGGGACAAAGTGACGAATATCAGAATCCCCTACTCCATGTGTCACCCCCTCACAGAGGCACATGGAGTAGGACATTATTATTATCACCCCCACTTGGAAAGCATCTAGAAAATCAGTAAAGCAATTCAGACAACTGCAAGGTTCAAAGAAAATGAAGCATCAAAACAGCCAAACAATGAATTTAAAAAAAAAAAAAACTGGTTCACCTGAAACTAGTGTGAAACCCATTAGTGTAGATGACCACCACCAGACAACATGGAGGTACCAGGCAATCCTGTTGCTGTTTACTCTTGTACAAGTGCTTCCTGGGTCACTACGTAACAGTAGTGCAAGCTCTGCTTCCCAGCTAAGTGCTGGCCATCCTCCAGACTGTCTTGCAGGGCCATTTGCTTGTTTATCATTTCATTCTTTTAGCATTAGCTTAGTGTGAATGTTTTTTCTGGGTGTTTTCCTCTGTGGCTTCCTGAATCTGCTATGTTGCTAAGATTGCTTCAAACTAAAAGGTCACATCAGTTGCGGAAGTTCTGTTTGGCCTTCTGGTCCCCACAGCCAGAACCTAGGCACACACCTTCACAGAGGTGTAGCGGGTGAGTAAGTTTTCCATCCTACCAGGAAAGCATCCACAAAATCAGCGAAGCTTTACAGATAACTGGAGGGTTCACAGAAAACGAAGCCTTGAAACCACTAACCAACTCCACAAATGATTCAAACAAAACAATAGATTCTCTCAAAACTAGCTCAAATTCATTAGTACTGATAGCTGTCATGAGGCAGCCCAGCCCCAGCTCATAGCCAACTCCCATAGTCAGTTCAGGAACTCATGAGCAACCCACCGACAAACCTGGTGGAAAGGACGAGAATCGGGTGGCGAATCGTCACTGGCTCCCTGCATCTTGGTGAGGAAGGCCAGGTTCAAGCTTTGGTTCCCTACAGGCCAAACAGAATTCCTGAGACTGATATGACCTCTTTAGTTGGAGAAATCTCAGCAAGAGCTTCATGGAGTCACTGGGGCTCTACAAGAGATTTCATTACTTTCAATGTTGGATTTTTTTAATATTTTTTTCAGGAATTCTATAAATAGAAATGATAAATGCAAATTGCATGTACAGTATTACCTAAACCCCACTTTTCAGAAGAAAAAATTATGATATTCTTAATTTAATTTATTTATTTCAATTTCACCCAGACAAAGATGAATGTGCAACTGATAATGGTGGCTGCCAACATGTCTGCAAGAATACTATCGGCTCCTACGTTTGTTCGTGTTCAAATGGCTTTACACTGCACGAGAATGGGCATGACTGCAAGGAAGGAGGATGTAAACATGAAATAACTGCTCCAGTTGGAGAAATCTTCAGTCCAAACTATCCAGATTACTATCCTAGTCGGAAAGACTGCGTATGGCAGTTTACCACAACTCCTGGGCACAGAATCAAACTGGTTTGTAATTTCTTTTGAATTACACCCTTTTATTACTACAATTTTTCATCACTGGTCTGGTTATGAATTCATTAGCCATTTTTCTACACACACACACACATATATACATATACATACAGTATATATATTTGTACTGTACTGTATTAGTTTATTTTATTACACTTTAATGACATTGGTTTATTATATCCAAGTACTGTATGTGTCTTGTTTGTATACTGAATTCTTTTTTAAACTACAGTACTGTACCTTGTAACTTTGTTTTTATATAAATTATTTTGTTTTAGCATTTAATAATTTAATATTGATTATCTAAAGTAAGTGTAACCTTTCATTACAGGTATTTGACGAGTTTGAAATGGAGCCTCATCAAGAATGTACATATGACCACATAGCCTTGTATGATGGTACTACCTCAGAAGCGGGTTTTCTAGGCCGATACTGCGGGGCTAAAGTGCCACATCCTATTGTAGCCTTCAATAACCAGATGTTTATGGTGTTCAAGTCAGATTCTTCGGTGCAACGGAAAGGATTTCGAGCTAGACACACAACAGGTTCGGATTAAAGCATGCTATAATTGTTTAAGTATTTAATTCCTTGCTTTCGCTATTACTTAATACTTTGGGATAATTAAACTAGATATTTTAGGATTAAGATGTGAACCTGACCATGTTTAGGTCTTAGGTGGAAGATGTATACTGATTTAAGTGAAAGTGTAAGTAGAACCATAAACAAACTACATGGTTACAATAAGAAATTGGAGAAGATACAGTATTGCAAAATAAGTTGGAGAGAGGAAAGGTAGAGATGACTAGAATTGCAGGTTTGCCCTCGTATAGTACTACAAGTACACAAGAGATACTGTATGTTCCTCGTGGGCCTTGGTAATACCGTTGGATTTCTTCTCCACTCACAATCAGGAATTCTGGTTTGAATCCCGGGTGGGACAGAAATGATTGGGTGTGTCCTATCGCCTAATGGCCCTGTTCACCTAGCAGTAAATAGGTACCCAGAGTTAGTCAGCTTGTTGTAAGGTTGCATCCTGGGGAGGGTCAGTAATTTGACCCTGTGATGAGGCCCAAGTTTTGGCTCTGGTCCTCGATTGGCCAAACAAAACTCCTGCGACTAATGTGATTCATTTGCAGGGAGCAGTCTCAGTACAATAGCTTCAGAGAGTCACCGGGGGCTCCCCCAGAAAAATACCTTTGGTTCTTTCCTACAAAATATACAGTGTACTAGTATAAATAAATTGAATTAAATTTCCAGCAACTAAAATGTATACCTACATTCCCCCTCATGTTACCTGTCAGTAGTTGTAACTTATCTTTATGTTTCAGTTTGTGGAGGAGGTCTGAAGGCCACCAGTACTGTCAAGCATATGTATTCCCATGCTAAATACGGAGATCAAAACTATGATAACAAAGAGGATTGTGATTGGATCATACAAGCTTCCCCAGGCGAGAATGTCCATCTCACATTCTTGACGTTTGAACTTGAAGATGAGCACGACTGTGGTTATGATTACGTTGAAGTGTTCTCAGGCTACAGTGACTCGGGGCCATCTTATGGGAAATTCTGTGGTAATTCTGTAAGTATTGGTAATAATTACATGGTTTATAATTCCTCAATGGCGATTTGACAATGACAATGGCGTCTCTCTCAGGCAACCAGCACGCCGTATGCTTCTCAAATATCACAATACACTACATCAGTCTTCTCATTCCTCAAGCCTTAGCCTGCCAACAACTTGATGTGTAAATCCAGCCATGGATTAAGTTATAATCAAGTCAATTAAATTACACAGTACTGTATTTTAATATGTAATGATCTTACCTGTCATGGGCTGTTGGCAATAATGCTTAACCCCACCTATGCTCTTTGATTGATCAGCCACTGTATCTAAAGTAATGGGACGGAAACAAGGTACAGTACTTCCTGTATTGTTGACAAGGGCGAAGTGCAGCTACACCTGAAGATATCTCGCTATTTCTTGAGAACTTGAAAAACATATACAGTACTGTACTGTAGTCTCTCTCTCTCTCTCGTCGGTAAGAGAGCAATGGCAGGCTTCCCCTTCCCAGGAAGGGCCGTTCATACGTGGGTAATTATTTATTTGATTCCATGAAGGAGTGATATTAAATTAACTCTCTTTAGGATCTCTTTAATTTTACTAAATGTGTATAGGTGGGGAAATTTCACAAACCTAGCATTAAATGGGTATCTTCTTGAGGTTATCTTGAGATGATTTTGGGGATTTTTTAGTGTCCCCGCGGCCCGGTCCTCGACCAGGCCTCCACCCCCAGGAAGCAGTCCGTGACAGCTGACTAACACCCAGGTACCTATTTTACTGCTAGGTAACAGGGGCATAGGGTGAAAGAAACTCTGCCCATTGTTTCTCGCCGGCACCTGGGATCGAACCCAGGACCACAGGATCACAAGCCAGCGTGCTGTCCGCTCGGCCAACTGGCTCCCTGGTACCTGAGAGTTGGCCAACTGTTGTCTGACAGGTTTCTTGTTCCCTAATAATGACAAAGTAAACTGTTCTAACCATTAACTGAAAGACTTCACTTAATTTTACACTTCATAATTAATGACCTGTTATCCACTTCTGCATTTAATAACATGAATTGTTTTCCAGATTCCTCAAGAAATTGTGTCAATAAATGATGCCCTCCTCGTGAGATTCCGGTCAGATGATACAATAAACACAAAGGGATTTTCTGCTGCTTACGTTGCAATAGCAGAGGAGACCTTGCCAGAAAACATCACTGGTGATAACAACAGTTTCAGTTACAGCTTCTCCAGAGGGTACTAACAGAGTCTTCATCTGCAATATGAGCAGCAATTATGAGCTTCAACTCTGCTTCCCATATGCTCGCTTTCTTCTTCAAACTGATGACAAACTGAGCTTTATTGAAGTGCTGTACATGAGCTATAGATGATTTTTAAGAAGTGCTTACCTTGAAACCCAGATTCAGAGTAGAACATTTATTCTTCTCTGGATTTCCTTCACCTTACTCTAAGAAGAGTTGTGGCCATAATATTGGAACATGTTGCAGGATCCAAATTGGTCTACGGTGTCACTTTATCCTTATTCTCATACTCCAACCCGTCTCCTTGTTCTCATTCTTCAACCCTACATCTCCTTATTCTCATTATCCAACCCTTACATGTCCTTATTCTCATTATCCAACCCCCCCCATTTCTCATAAAATCATTATCCAACCCCCCCCCTCATCTCTCATTATCCAATCCCCTTCCCATCTCTTATTATCCAACTCCCATCATCATCCAACCCCCCAACCCCTCCATCTCCTTACTGCCATTCTCCAAGCCCCATCTCTTTATTCTTATTCTCCAATCCAATCTTTTTGTTAATGCTATGAAATCTTTGACTACACCTTGACTGTCGTCATCTCACAGTTTGATGTTTATAGAATGTAGATAAGAAACAGTAGTTTATCACTGTGTATAATATTGTTCTTGATCATGCCAATACAGTACAGTGTATGGCTGTATCAGATTTGTAGTCACATATGTTTTAAGTTTGGGTACAAGTACCTCATCGTGAGTACTTACTGAGAGACGCTTCTTATTTCATACTTTTTTTTTTTTGTCAAACTTCATTACAGTATTTACTTTTGTGGGATTTAATACTACATCCTGTTAATAACTTCATACAGTACTTGTTACAACGTGTAAAAATTTCACCTCGCCCATCTGATGGCTGACAATGTAAAAATTGTATTTAAATAAACCATATTTATTGTTGAAATATAAAATGAAGTTATATAGAAAACATTCAACGTTTTAATCCAATTATCAGGGTGGGGTACAATTTTAGATTATAAAATACAACTCATTTCTGTTATGCCTTCATTAAATAAATAGTAAATTCATAATACTGTATACCAAATCAGTAAACACATACAAAGATTCCTAAAACTCAAGTAATATATTTAGTATCTGAGCAAAGAAATCAATTGAAAAATCCACATCTGATTAATGTCCCAGAAAATTAACAAGTCAGATTCAGGAAACACTGTCAAGCTCTTAAAGCATGTTCGTGAAACAATACTACTAACAGTACAGGGAACCGTGCAATGATTAATTATAAATAATGTGTTCATAGGACCCAGCCAGCTGCTAGCAGTCAATTACTTATTAGCCATATACATGGACACAACCCTATAAGCCTTATCTTTGTTTATATTGAATAGATTAACGGCTGTATTCACACTCCACTTTTGGTGACAGAAACTTGATGCAAAGGCAATTGTTTTCAATTGTCATTACTAATTTTAAATTAGTCATTTCAGAACTGAGAAAAATGGATCATGAGTTTCAGGTTCATAAGGCATTACTCCTGTCATCTTGTTCTCTCAAATATGTAACTTTTTCCTAACATAGAATGCTTAATGCAATAAATACATGTGCATGCTTAAGCAAAATGAAACTTCCATCTGCGTGTGATGCCTTTCATCGGCATTGCTAAGTTAGGTGGGCTAAAATATTGACAAAATGTCATTTTGGGTTTGGATCACACGTATTCAATGCTCGGATATCAGACAGCATCCTATAGGTAGGCTGCAAATATGGCATGTAAAATAAAATATAATAAACTGTATCTGCCTTCCAGTTAGGGGTCACCACAGTGGATTCTGATTACAGCAATATGTATTAACTGTAACTGTTAGTAGCATGGTTTTATCACTGTATTATATAACATATCTCCCATATACTCTACGTTGTGGAGGTTCCGGAGATCAAAGGCCCCACGGCCCGGTCTTCGACTAGGCCTCACTACTCTACAGTTATCCATATTTTTAACGTTACAACTTTTTTTTATTCTTTTTGTTTTTATTATTTATTGCTTTAATTTGCCTTTCTGTCAGTGGTTAAGTTAAATTCAAAGAGTTTTGCTTCATTTTTTAAGCACGATCTAACATCAAAGTATTCAGGGGAATTAGAAACAAAAACTCAAAATCAAAAATGTGGTTTATCACCTGATCAGCTGCATAATGGCAGCTTTTGAAGGTGGCTCCCAAATGCCTGATTTGGTGATGGTTAAAATAATGTGTGTACTTTTCAGTTCTCCTCGCAGCTTCAAATAAGATACATAAAGTATTCCCACAAAAAAAAAAATGGAATATGAGGGGCATCACTTGCAACAAGTTTTCTAATATTATCAAGAAAATATATGGTTTAAGCACAAAGTACTTGCTGTACTGAAAGATTTTGTATACAGTATATATTTTGCTTAATGTGACTACAGTACTTGCAAAGAAAATGGAAAATACTTATACCTCTTACCATCATATTTAATGTACTGTATTTGTAATGACCCCTAATTTTTGTCTTGCTGTGATCTAAAATTATGGTTTATGTGGAAATACAGTACCGGTCAGAATGTAGACAACATTGACCACTCAAACATGTGGTCTCAAGTTTTTCCTGTAGTCAGCAAGATGCACATTCCAACTTCAGTACTGTAATCTTGAATCATACTATTCAATATAGTGTAATTTTTATAATAATGTAGTCTCATTTTAGTAATACAGTATGATTACAGTATCAGTATTTTTTGTGTTGACATGCCATTCTTAGACAAAATTAGCTTTCATAAACATATTTAATATTGTGGAAAAAAAAATCCCCCTCAGAGTAACAAACTCTTAGATAAACAATATTTAATACTCTATCTGGATATCAACCAAAGTCTTATGAATATGTCATTTTATTTAGTGTATATTTAAGAGGTGCTGAACACTGACCTTGCATCTGCGATGACACCAGCACACGCTCGGACTCTCAGTGTAACAAGTGTCGGCGTCAGATAAAAGTGTATCTACAGAGTTGTTTAATTTCCAGTGCAGTGTTCTTAATGTCATAGAATATTTAGAGTATTACAGTAAAACCTTTGAATAATGAATTGTATTAAGAAACATGGTTTTTTGTTAATAAGAAAATAATACCTTTCATAATGTCACAAAATTTTATAGAAAACATATTCCAGGCAAACACTAGAATTAATATTTGATAGAACTATGAGATTCCTTAATTGTCCTGTACATGTCATTTAGAATTTTTCCCGGGTCGAGTGTGGCAAGTTTATTGTGCCCTTCACACATTTTCTCCTTGGGTAATGTCCTCAGAAATACCCATTCTCATTCTCTCTCTCTCTCATTCTTTCTCTTTCTCTCTCATTCTCTCTCTCTCGTTCTCTCTCTCGTTCTCTCTCTCTCGTTCTCTCTCTCGTTCTCTCTCTCGTTCTCTCTCTCTCTCTCTCTCTCTCTCTCTCTCTCTCTCTCTCTCTCTCTCTCTCTCTCTCTCTCTCTCTCTCTCTCTCTCTCTCTCTCTCTCTCTCTCTCTCTCTCTCTCTCTCTCTCTCTCTCTCATTCTCTCTCTCTCATTCTCTCTCTCTCTGTCTCTCTGTCTGTGTGTGTGTGTGTATCTTGCTATCATTCCACAAACTTCTGAGAAAAGCAGTTTTTCCTTGCTTCTCAGCATGCTGCCATTCCACAAATTATGAGGAAACTTCTCTTCCTTGCTTCACATGATATTGCCATTCCAAAAACACCAAGAAAACCTATTCTTTGCCTTGCATCATCATGCTATCATTTAACTATTTCCCTGGCTATTCTCCCTCAGTCTATCATACTTCGCTCTTATTTTACATAAAACAGAATGATCAGTCACTTTGAAATCCATATTATCAAGTTCAAAATGTGAGCAAACTGATAATGGTGGATATAGGCAGCAGAACAGTTATAGGTCTGCTGGAGGCAGACATTGAGCTTCTCTTGTATACTGTGTTCAATACCATTAATCAGAGGTTTTACTGCATTTTAGAGTGGAAGCTTTATTCTTCAAATTTGAAGAAAGTCAGTTTTCCAGAAACAGAGTACACACTTTAATGTAAATTTCCCTTCCAGTGCTCTGGGAATAAGTGCAGTTTGTGACATAGGAAGTAATGATAGTTTCTGCTGTTAAATGCAGTTTCATATTTTCAGTTATAGTTAATGGACAACTAAATTTTTTTTATTAAGGAAATTCTTTCGACAAATAATTGTCTACTTGCCTCCCATAATGTGTAATATATTTATATATATATGACTGCATATTCTGTATTTACTCTATTCTGATTTAGGGCTTCTATTCCTCTGTTTTTCTAGCATCAGGGCTTAGCTGAATGAGGAGTTCTCCAAAACTCATTTCCGTTATTTCAAGGTGAAGAAAAAAGTGAATTACTGTAGAATGTATTACACTTATTTATACAATTTGCACAACGTTTTGAACCTCCATGGTTCATTCTCAAGTGAAAAGAAATTACAGGACTCGTTAATTTATACCAGTACGGGGTCAGGTGATAAACAAGTACAGTAAAGGTAAAGACAAGGGGGATAAATGGGGGGGACGAAGCACATACAAAGATTAATCAGGTGTAAAAGGCCTGTTATGTTGAGCAGTGTCTTCTGTGTTGGCATCGTTATGTTCTGGTCTTGTCCTTACTCATATGGTGGGTAGAGTAAATAGTTCCGTGATTTGGGTGTTCAGGTAGGTTGTTCTATTCTTATGTGAATTGCTTCAAGAATTTGTAATCTTCTTATATCTTGGGTTTTGTCTATTATACAGGTATTTTTGTTCAACATTTCTGTCGGAAAATCCGACACCATTTAATAACATCATACAGACAGATAATAATTGCTGCTGTATTGTATAAACAAGTTACCCATAGAAAATGTAATTGTAGTGGAATTTCCGTCTATAGAAAACGGGATATCATTACCACATACTATTATAAATTCACCACCTATTATGGTGGGAATTATTCTTAAATACATTAGTCTTTGGACTTTACCATCATAAAAACATCTCATATAAATTAACTTAATTATCAGAATTAAAATAGAGTAAATGTGACCCTTCTATCACTTACTGTCATCTGGACAATGTAGGCCAGTAGCATCAGTAGTGGGGAGTGGTCAGCTATTGTTTATACTTAGACCACAGAGGCTCACAGGAGCAAATACGGCTCCTGTTAATTTTACTTGGACGAAGTGTTATGGAAACCAAAGGTGTACCATCATCAACACGCTGTCAACAAATTCAAGTTAAAGTGTTCTGCCGAAACCCATTTATCTATCATTTGTGGCCATTAATGTCACTAGGTAGGGTGATCCGGTTAGAGCACGAGATTGCCTCATACTAAAGGTAATTAAGCCCAGGTCTATATGGTTCCTTGTACAGTGTTTTCTCTGATATAGCTGTCATATATTAGGATTCTGGCTTCACAGCTAGCGCCCTTTTGACAGGTCAAGACGAGGAAGCATGCTTTGTGCATCAGTTACCAGTGTGATGGAAGCTACCTCAAAGAGGGAAAATGTGGTGTCTACATCCTGGTTATACCTGGTGGACTAAGGCCTGCTGTACAAATAAGATAAGGAACCTCTTCAATGTATGTAGTCTAATACTGTAGTTTGATTGGCTGCATATATATAAATTTAATAAACCCTCCTAATGTGTAGAGGATCGATTTGTGAGATTGTGAGATTATTGCAGAAATACAGTCCACTTAATATCATACAAATTGCTATCGAAATATATAAATTAACGTAAATATAAATTCATATAAATTAAATAAATATAAATCTCACAGGTCGGTTCCCACAATTTCTCTTGTTAGGGTGATGTCATGGGCTTGTCTCATGTGATTCCTGGGGGAACCGGATTGAAGATAACAGGTCAAACGCCTCGTCAGCTTGGTCGACATCATACCTATGTACTTAGATTGAAGGTTACATCCTTCATGAGGGCAAGTGTACATGTATACAACGCTTGTGTACTGTAGAGGGTTCTCCGTCGGCTTCGGGCTGTTTTTGATAAGGAGGTCGGAAGTCTTCTTGGTTTTGTAGAATATGATCAGGTCTATGTTTTGGTTAGGAGTAACGCTTTTTACTCCTTTACGGATTATTTCTTTCATTATTCTTTCCTCTTTTTTTATGTTCACTATGCACAGTTGATTTGTACTATAATTTTATTGAAGGTGTTGTGGTTTCTATACTAGGTTCAGGCTTGTACCATCGGTCCAGGTGTCTTCTCATAGCGGTGTTTATTTCCGTGTTGCTATATCCGTTGTTCACCAGTACCTGAGTTATTCTTTCAAACTCTCTACTTACTGTACATTGCTCCATTCGGAGCAGTGTGTAAGCGCTCGATGAATATAAGCATTGAGAACACTGGTTTTGTATCTTTGAAGGCACTCACTCTTACCGTTCAGGCATAATCCTATGTTGGTAGGTTTTGTGTATACGCTGGTGCTTAAAGAGGTTCCTGCTTTTGTTATTAGTACATCTAAGAAAGGCAGACTGTTATTTTTCACTATTTTCATGTGTAAATTGGAGTACTGACTCTCTCTAGATGGCTCTTTTGATTAATTAGTTTGTCTGAGGCTTTTACTCTGACGAATATGACATCTACATAACGGCAGTACAGTATACAGTTGGTTTTTGTCTGTTACTGAAGACTGTCTTCGATGGTTCCCATATAAAAATTAGCAAATAACACTCCTAAGGGGGAGCCCATTGCTACTCCGTCTATTTGTAGATACATGTCTCCTTGTGGACTGATGAAAGGGGCTTCCTTTGTACATGCCTCGAAAAGACTCTTCAAGTGTGGCTCAGGTATGTCTAATTTGGGGGTGCTCTCATCTCTGTATGCTCTGTCCAGTATCATTTCTATGGTTGTGTCGACTGGGACGTTGGTAAATACGGATTCGACGTCCAGGGAAGCAATGATTCCATCGGGCTGAGTAGTTTTGATTAATTCTAGGAAATCTGCTGATGATTGTAGACTATAGTTGCTTGGAGTGTATGGAGTTAGGAGTTCATTAAGTCTTTTTGCCAGGTGATAGGTTGGAGTTGGTATTTGGCAACACCTTGAAATAACGGAAATGAGTTTTGGAGAACTCCTCATTCAGCTAAGCCCTGATGCTAGAAAAACAGTTAGAGGGATAGAAGCCCTAAATCAGAAGATAGTAAATACAGAAAATAAATATATAATAATATATATATATATATATATATATATATATATATATATATATATATATATATATATATATATATAAAATAATAAATACAGAATATGCGGTCATATTCAATGAAACATGTTTGAAAGAAAACCTGCTGCCAGTATACACACACACATATATATATATATATATATATATATATATATATATATATATATATATATATATATATATATATATATATATATATATATATATATATATATATATATATATATATATATATATATATATATATATATATAAATTTGTGCATATAAGAATATGTACTGTACATGTATTATACAAAAGTCTAATTAATCATTAAGAGGCTTATAATAGTGTTTGTATAAACAATAATGCACTCAACTGGACATATCAAAGAAATTTCAATACTGTACTCACCTAGTTGTCTACAGTTGAAGTTAGGGTGCTTTCTCCATGATAAGTATAGAGGGAGATAAGTTCAGTGACTCTCATTCCCCATTTTAAATGATTGATGCACAGATGAGGTTTTGAATTAAGAAAAAAAAATGTAATTAGCAACTGAATAAATGTTGCTGTTGTTGCTCTATCAACAATATTTTAGGAAGAGAATACAGATAAGATGTAATATAGTGCTCTAACTTGCCCACTACTTCTACAAAAAGATTGTAAAAAAAAAAAAAAAAAAAAAAAAAAAACTTTCCATCATCATGTATATTTTACTATCATCATCACAATAATATCATCAAAGCCCACCGAAAGACGACATGTGGTAGACTTGTACATACTATGCAAAAATACATAATGTCATCTTCAAGTGTAACCTGAACATGCTTAACGTCACGTCTTCTTTCCACTGTATTTTTGTATAATAATGATATCCTTGCT